AGATGGATGGAGGAGAGGAAAGGGGAGGGCGGGAGAGCTGGATGACTCATCCTCCATGAGAGGAGCAGTGTTTCACTGTCCTAACCCACAGACACGCATTTACAGTGATTCCACTATACTGACAGACTAACCGTGAAATCAGACAGAAAAAAAGGAAAATGAAAGACAGCAGGGCTTAGGGCTTATTTGCTTTAGATATTTAAATAGTGAAGGCTAGGGAATGCATTGATTTTGAGCAATTATATATGGTTCAGTTGAAATTATAGGACATAATCTGCTAGTAGAAAACAAAAGTGTTTACAATTAAAAATAAGTGGTCTTTTTTTTTCCAGAGAAATCACAAATTTTGGACTCTACAAAAAAAAAAAAAAAAAAAAAAAGTCCCAATTTGATTACTTGTACTACGTCCTAAAAGTATAAGTACTCTTTTTGTGAAGACAAAATACATACATTTGAGTGTGAAACAGCGTATATGCAAGCTTTCGAACATAACCTACTACTTTCTCAATAATGGGCCACTCTTGATTAATTACGTGCCCTGTCAATCATATTGTCACATCATATATAGCAATATTCCTACCATATTGGAAATCCAGAAGCACAGTAATCTGACATTTAAAGGTCTTTCATGCAGAGAAATCTCAGGTGTTCGCATGGGCATTTATTCAGAAGTTAGTGACTAAACACATCTTTTTAAAATGTTGCAATGTTGTTGCAGATGAAATATAATGTGGAATTCATTCATTTTCCTTTGGCTTAGCACCCGGAGGAAACCCATGCGAACACGTGCAGAACAAGCTAACTCCACACAGAAATGCCAACTGGCCCAGCCGAGACCCGAACCTGCGAACTTCTTGCTGTTTGAGACGACAATGCTAACCACTAAGCCACCTTTAACTTAACCTTTTTACTTAGCCATTTGTCTAGCACAATTTCTATGTTTTTAGTTTGTGTATTACAAATCTTTGTAACCTCTGCCCATATACAGTCAGCAACATTATTACAGTATTACTGCTGTTAGACAACATAATGTACTTTTGAGGCTTTTTTTAGTCGAGAATGTAATTGTTTAGATTGCAACTATGCAGTTTATTTGTAAAAATATTTACAATTTCTGAGAGAGCTCATCGGCGGCCATTAGCCTGCCACAAAGTAGACCAAAGACGGTTGATGTTTTCTATCCACAAGATGGCGACAGAACCGCATAATAAGCCCGTACGCTTAGAAGCTTATAACAGTGTGATTTCTAACTACAGCAGATCAAATCATTATTAAATGGTAAGCATACCTGCCAACACTCCTGTTTTACCTGGAAGTATCCTGTATTTCAGACCAATCTGCTGTAACCATCCTGTTTTTTTATTTCTTCCGGACAACTCCCATAATTTCACCCACCCCCCTCTTTGGTACAGTCTGTAAACACCCCTGGGTCGCCTATTTTGGTATAGTACCCGATCGCAGTGGCCACCCAAAACCCGCTGCATCCTATCCCGGTTCTCAACAGTGCTATTTAGAGAGCTCACCCCCGAACACCCCGTCCCCCTGGTCTCCCAGATTTTCAGCGACATGTTCGCAGGTATGCTGGTTAGTGATATTATAAGCTGATCTTTCTCTTTTGTATGTTGTAGTGCTGTATTTATACCAATTTGCTAGCAAATCAGGAATGTGTGTTGTGTTGGCAAAAAAAAAGAAGTCCGCATGTGTTTAGCGTTTTTCCTTATCGCAAACACAACAGCTGTCTGGTAGTGATTGTGCTGATTTTTTCAGGGGTTAATTATTGTGATATCCCAATTGCAACACACGGTATGAAGATATCTCTGTAGATGGATGGCATTTCATGTCACGTTCAGCCTTATAATCTTAATTTGTGAGCAAAATCAGCTGTTTTGTCATCACTTTAGACATTACGCTATAGACTGTGTTTTGACTTATTTACACGATTGTGCCGTTGAACTGTTGTATAAAAGCAACATCACACTTGTAGTGCGATATGGCTGTATATCAGCACTGGTGGGACACTAAGGTACTTTTGTGTGTGTGTGTGTGTGTGTGTGTGTGTGTGTGTGTGTGTGTGTGTGTGTGTGATGTTACAGCCTTATGCCAAAATGGATTAAATTAATTTATTTCCTCAAAATTCTACACACAATACCCCATAATGACAATGTGAAAAGATTTTTTTAAAATGGATTAAAATTTCTTAAAAATAAAAAACCTGAAAAATCACATGTACATAAGCATTGGATGGATAGATAGTATGCATTTTTGTTCAGTTTTCTGTTATCTTCAAAAACAATTCTGGTTTAAATACAAAACACATTTCTATTACATAGTTTATTTATTTATTTATTTATTTATTTATTTTGGTTTGTTTTTTGCAATGATGCTACAGAAGAACCATTTTGGTTCACTAAAAACCTTTATAATTATTAGTTTTTAAAATAAACTGTGATCTATAATGTAAAAACTCTAACATATAATTAACCTTTTATGAAAATGGAATAGTACCATAAATGTTGTCAATAAAAAAAAAAAAATGCTGATAAAATGCCAAAAACACCTTTGAAAGATGGACAAAGATAGTCATGGTTTCATATAATAAAACAAAAAGTGTGTGTTGTCACCTATGCATCATTGTTGGCCAGTGAATTAATCACAAATGCGTATTCAAAAGACATAATAAAAGACAAATATTAATTGTATTTAATTTATGCTTGAAAGACACTTTTCCTGTCGTTTTCGGGTCAAATCTGAATGATTTACAACTTAACTCACTCATAAATATTGTGTTTTACATCTGATTGCCTCAAGGTCTTAGGATATCCTCCATACTGTGCACTTGAACATATAAAAGTGATGATCCTCTCTTTCATTTAATTTTGAGTGTTTTAATCAACCTTGTTACACCTGTGTTGTTACTGGTCAAAAGTGACCCCTATAGGAAATTTATGAGTATCCAGACTGTTCATCCATTAGACAGAAAACATCCCCACACACACTACCCCAACTCACTCACTCACTCACTCACTCACTCACTCACTCACTCACTCACTCACTCACTCACTCACTCACTCATTTCAGACTGAACAATGTCTTTTGTAGGTACACTTCTCTTTTATGCTCTTATGTGCTGATCCTCCAGCCTGATCGCACAAGGAAACAACTATTTTACATTTTGTCAGTTTAGTGGCTAATTCATACGAGTTCAGTTTCTTTCTTTTCTTATTTTATTCATTTTGTTGATTTATTTCTCTCTCTCTCTCTGGAAAGAAGTACAGAGAAAGTTTCTTTCTTTCTTTCTTTCTTTCTTTCTTTCTTTCTTTCTTTCTTTCTTTCTTTCTTTCTTTCTTTCTTTCTTTCTTTCTTTCTTTCTTTCTTTCTTTCTTCTCTGTTTAGCCAATCTCTGACCCTAGCAATTTTAGCTTAGCTTAGCAACAATTTCTTTATTGCAGTTATTTCATGTCTAATTTTGTAAATTCATGTTAAACACTACTTTGAGACATCCTTTCACACATACAGACCGTTCCGGAAAATTACCGGCAATTTTCCGGAAAGGTTGTATGTGTGAACAGGTCCTTTTTGAAAATACCGGTAAATTCGTTCTGGCTATTTTCCGGAAAGAGAAGTTGTAACATTACTGGTAATTTGCCGGAATGCTGCGCTGTGTGAATGCAGAAGGAAGATTGCTGTAAAGAGCGCGTACACGTCTAGAATGTGCTGACGTGAGACGTCTACTTTAGCCAATCAGAACAGTCAGACGCATTCACGTGTGCGCGGTTTATGAGAATAAGAGTTTATGAGAGCCTTTGAATATTTTTCCAGACACATTTAGCTGCTAGATGTTAGTCAAATAACGTTTCTATGTTCCTTCTTAATGCTAACTGTGTAAATAATTATCGATAAAATGTTCATGATAATCCGTTGTTTGTTTACCTTTAAGCTTTGCGTGTGCCCGTGAGCGCCAGCACACACACATATCATGAACATCTCTACATGCGAAAGTGTTTCTCTATGTTTTCATTGGAGTTGTACTCAATACTGATCCATCCAAAGAGTTTATAATGTAGTCAAATGTTTACAAACACAAGCGCAGCCGTTTAGAGGTCATTTCTGGTTAATGATGTCAGAATGTACCGGTATTTTGCGATGGATGTGTGAATGCTCTTTTCCGGAAAAATTCCGTAACATCCTCGCCTGTGTGAACAGCGCTTTTTTGAATATACCGGTAAAGTCATTCCGGAAATTTTCCGGATATTTACCGGTATCACTGTGTGAAAGGGGCTATTGTTCACAGCTCACAGTAAAACAGGCCGGTGAATTTTGACTGGGAACACTAAAGTAAGGGGCAGATGTGAACATGACGCGAGGGTTAATTACTAAATGTGTGTACCTGTATTATATCTTCTAAAATATTATATATCCTGTATTTGAATAACTCTGGTTGCTGGGACTATAAAAGTCAATAGGTCAACCAGCATTCTTCAAAATATCTTTTGTCACTCATCAAATTTTAAAACCACATGTGGGAGAAAAAATAAATTACGAGGTCCTTTTCTTTTTTCCATGAACAGGCTTTTGAGCCATCTGATGAAAGTCAACGAAAGGTTTAAAACGCCCTTGAAAGTCAACACGCGTCGAGCAAATGCACACACATTCCTACATCGACATATATGTGTGCGTATATGCATCCGTAACACATCCCAGAGCTGCACGATTCCACGGCTTGCAGCTGCTTTGGGCTGTTTTCTATTTTATGAATGGAGGCTGGGAGGGGCCATGATGTCAATACACTTCGTGAGAACAACCCCCCCCCCCCACCCTCCCAAACACGCACACCTCCAGATGCGGGAAAAGCCTTCATAACCACTGAGCTAAATCTGAGAACCCCCCCTCCGCCTTCTTCCTCCACGTATCCCACGCATCCATCCGCATGCACTCCCTCCCTCCAACCACACCTGTTCTCCTATCAGAGGAACCAGCTTCAGCCAGTCTGCTGAAGGGCTTGCTGACGCCAGAAGACCCCCTCCCCTTTTTCTCTCTCGTTCTCCTTTTTCCGCCACTAAAAGAGTGGCATGAATAATCCATGCCAGATAAAGAACTGCAGCAGAGAGGGACGTGATCACAAGCCTTGCTCGTGCACACACACACCCTCTCACACGCGTGTATGGTGATGGAGGCAGAGCAGAGGGGCGTGTGAGACTGCAGCAGCATCCTTGCTTTCCGCTTCGACGCATGCAGAGCGATCTTTTCCTCCTGCGCTCCAACAAGCTAAAGCCGGCATGTTCTGCTTCTGCCTGCAGGGCTCGTTGATGAAGCTCCAGACTCTGGACGGAGACTCCAGTCCTTCCTCGGACCCCTCTCCCGAAGAAAGTCCACCCATCCTGGGATTTAAAGATGAAGTCCTGCTTCCTTCATGCAATGGCGTTGGGGACCAGCACAGCTCACCTGGTAATTCAAATCCCTCTTTCACTGTATATAGCATGCGAGTGAGTGATTATGCAAGATATACTGTACGTTGGGTTGTTATACTTTACGTTGCATGAATGAATGAATGAATGGATGTGGTATACCGATATGACAACCCATTGAAAGACTAGTGGCTGATAGGAGGGGTGGGTTTGTTTGTTTGTGGCTCTTTCGCAAGGAAGATGGCTCTTGTTTTTTCTATTTTTTTTTTTTTGGACACACGTGAGTCACTTGCTCGCGCCGCTTCACACTGGCATCTATTAATAACGCAGGGTGATGGAGAGAGAGACACTGATATTGTAGACACCTCCTGCATGACTTCAACACGCACAAATATGTATACATCCCACATAACTGTGAGATTCTTATTGTGTGAGATCTCTTAAATATATAATCTTTTTAGGTCATAAAAGCAAACAAATAATGATTTTTCTTATTTTTTTTAATTAATTCACTTTTCTGAGCAGTTACCCTCAAGTTGTGATTTTTAGCAGGCGTCTGAAGTCAGCTGTTCTGTTAACTTTTATAGTCATCTCAATGTTGGTGGTGCAGTGGGTAGCTCTGTCGCCTCGCAGCAAGAAGGTCGCTGGTTCGAGCATTGGCAGAGTCAGTTGGCTGTGTGGAGTTTGCATGTTCTCGCCGTGTTCCCATGCGTTTCGCGTTTCGTCTGGGTTCTCCTGTCTCCCCCACAGTCCAAAGACATGTGCTATAGGTGAATTGGGTAAGCTAAATTTTCTGTAGTGTGTGTTAATGAGAATAAATGGGTGTTTCCCAGAGATGGGTTGCAGCTAAACGTGCATTCGCTGCGTAAGACACATGCTGGATGAGTTTGCGGTTCATTCGACTGTGGCGACCCCTGATTTTTAAAGGGACTAAGCCGAAAAATAATCTTTTTTTTTTGCATTTTTTGGTTCCATTTGGAACTATTTTAATTCACCAAGAACCTTTAAAATTATTATTTTTTTAAATAAACTGTCAATTGTAAAGTGAAAAACTCTAACAGATATTAATCCTTTATGAAATGGAAAAATACCATGAATGTAACAAAAACACAAATGCTGATAAAACGCTAAAATAAATAGATAATAATAATTAGGACCTTTGAAAGATGGACATAATTGAAACAAAAATGTGTGTAATCACCATTGCTGACCAGTGAATTTATTACAAACTTGTGTTCAAAAGACATAATAAAAGACAAATATTGATGGTATTTAATGTATACGTTAAAGGTGCAGTAGTTGATCTGCCAAAATGTTAACCGCTTAGCATATTAACTTTGGACGGCGGGGAAGGGACTGTGATTCAAAGCCACGCCTCCTGAAATCCCGAACACACTGCGTCACAACAGCAGACAACCCTCCAGTTCATGTCTCACCAGTTCATGTCCTATAAAAATAGCAGGTTTTGGCATGCTGTCCCGGGAGAGAACCCTGAGCTCTGAGATAATTGAGCCTTGGGCTCCCGCCTGGTCAATGAGCATGTAAGGGGGTACGAGATCAGGAAGTTCATGAGAGCTCCCCCTACTAAAGAAGGAAAGGAGGAGCTGGGGTGGGTAGGGGGATTCTTCAAAAAACGAAGACAAGGGAAGTAATATTAGTCGGTCTATTTATAGTGAGTTTTGGAATGATTGGCTTACTAATGACTACGGATGAGAGACCAGCTGCAATCAATCATATCGCGTGCTTCTCTCAAAAATATTTAGTAAAACTTCACATACCCCTCCAGCCGCAGCCCAGTACTGGGAATATAGTAAAACATATTTCTATTTGAATATATTTTAAAATACATTTAAATACATTAAAATAGATTTATTTCAGTGATGGCGAAGCTGAATTGTCAGCATCATTAATTCAGTCTTTACTGTGCGGAATTCTAATATGCTGATTTGCTGCTAAATACACATGTATCATCAGTTTTGAAAACAGCTATGCAGCGTCATTTTTGTGCACACCATGATACATTTCCTCTCTGGGTCCTTTAAAGAATGCACAAATCAAAATAACAGCTTTCATTTAAAAAAGAAATCTTGTGAAACGTTATAAATGTTTGCATGTCACATTTGACCAGATTCTTGCATCCTTGCTAAATGAAAATGATCAAATTTCTTGAGAAAGAAACCGTACTGGCACCAAACTTTTGAACTGTAGTGTGTCATAGAGTTCATCTAGTCTAACTGGAGTCAGTAAAGCGATTGTTTTCTCTGTCTCTCTTGCATGCTGTGTGGTATCCTCTGTAATCTAACTCTATCATATTCACTATATTAATTTTCTTAATAGTTTCTTATACTTTCAGTAGGTTCAGACGGTTCATGTTGACTCGACGTCTGCCTGATTTATTTTTGTATGTGTTAAGCTCAGCAGTTTGTCATTTGTTCACCCAACCCGCTTATGTAAATTTCCGCTGTCTCTCTGCATCTTTCTTTTCAATCCTGTCTGCTATTTTCATTATTTTTGCAAAAAAAAAGTCAATTTAGCTACTATACTGCAGAAGACCTATTGGAACCCGCATAGACCCAAGATTCTTATAGAAATCAGTCAAGTTTGGTGAAGGAAAAATCATGGATTGGGGTTACATTCAGTATGGGGGCATGCAAGAGATCTGCAGAGTGGATGGCAACATCAACAGCCTGAGGTATCAAGACATTTGTGCTGTCCATTACATTAGAAACCACAGGAGAGGGCAAACTCTTCAGCAGCATTGCACTCCTTCTCATACTTCAGCCTCCACATCAAAGTTCCTGAAAGCAAAGAAGGTCAAAGTGATTGGACTGGCCAGCCTAGTCACCAAAAGTGAACATTATTGAGCATGTCTGGGTTAAGATATAGGAGGCATTGAAGATGAATCCAAAGAATGTTTTCTTTGCCAGAAGTCAAGTTATTATTTGTTGTTTCTAAAACTTGGATAGGCGACAAGACTTTTGTCAGATAGTGTAGATGTCAAAGCAACCTCCAACATACTTGAAAATATCTTCTTTTAAGCACAACTGAAGAATGAAACTCACAGTTTGTAACTACTTGAGAATGAGTAAATGGTGAGTAAATATAATTTTTTTGGTGAACTCTCCCTTTAAAGCACAGGTGTCAAACTCAGTTCCAAAAGGGCCGCAGCTCTGCACAGTTTAGTTCCAACCCGAATTAAACATACCTGATCAAACTAATTGAGTCCTTCAGGTTTGGAGCAGAGTTGGAACTAAACTGTGCCGGGCTTCGGCCCTCCAGGAATTGAGTTTGACACCCCTGCTTTAAAGGATCTCCCTTGCAGCTCATGCTGACAACAACAAACAAAACATGGACAAAACATATTTAGGTGAATAAACTCTGAATATATGGTTTTCTATACACGCAGACACAAAGCTTGCTCTAGGGTATCTGTGGGGTCTTAAGTCTTAATGTCATAAATCTCAAAAGCTACATTTTAGGCTTTAAAAAGTCCTAATTCTACTGAAATGTTGTGTTATAGGTCCTAAATCATTTTTTGCAGGTCTTAATTTTACTTTGTGCATGTATAGCTACCCAATCTGGCCATTAACGCCCATATAATCACCAACAATCCGTCTCAGTAAAACTTAAAATAGCATTTAACTACTTGCCTTGCTGTAAAAGTTCTCCATTTATTACTGCTGTGTTTACTGATCTGACCTATATATTTTAATATGAATATATTATTGTTGTATTATGGAATTTTAATAATTTTTTTGATAGGTCAAGTGATTTTGTTTTCTAACTGTATTATCACAAATCCTCAGCATTTAGCCCTGTATAAGTCTAAAATTTCATTCACAGTGGTCCTAAAAAGTCCTCAGTTTAACTTGGTGAACCTACAGAAACCTGTTAGATGGACCAAATGTAATGTCATTGATCTGTATCTAGCTGTAAATACAAACTCATAAGGCTTTTGGTATGGGTGCTTTTTTGGGCCTTTGTGTTTGAAGTTAAATACACTAGCTCAGTGGTTTTCAAACTTGTTTCATCAAGTACCACCTCAGAAAACAATTGTCTCTCCGACCACCACCATAATGACTGGTATTGAAATACTATAGCGTAGTAGGCCTAATTAAGCAGCTTAGCAAAAACATAGCAGATTAATTCATATTATGAATATGTAACATTTTCAGCCACTTTAAACATTATAAATAGTTTGAACATCAACACTTTACTGTGCTTACAGGTAAAAAAAGATGTAAAATAAAATGTCAACGTTTAAATTAAAATGTGCTCATGAAGGCTTATTAAAAATGGCACTGTTCCTAAAAAGTAAAAAGAAAACTGCTGCACTTAAATTTAAAGTATTAACATGAAGTAGCCTATTCATCAACCTGGAAATGTTCCTTGGACCTAATAAATATAAGCTATATGTCATCACATTCATATTTAAAGTCTTTGTGATAAATTTTGACATATGTGTTGCATGTATATATGGCTTATTTGTGTATCTTTGAAATCTAAATATTAACTTGTATTTTAAATATGTAATTTGGATTTACACACCTAAATTGAAAATTAGATCTGCTTACTGTGCTTTAGAGTAGGCTTTGTGCGTCAGAAAAGCAAGTGATTAAACTATACCAGCCAACATTGGGATATAAAATTAAGAGATGCGCCCCACAACAGCAGTTACAAATATGTGGAGGAAATTAGCTTCAAATAATAGAATACATAACGAACATTAGAAAATTGAAAATAAAATAAAAGGTTTAGCCTATCAAAATCTATTTACTGAACACATTGGTGTTATTGTATACGCATCAAAGGGTTAAAAGTGTGTTCATTTTTTTACTTGAACTATTCAGCGATGGCTCAAAGCAAATCAAGTTTGTAATCATGTGTAATTATTTTGTCTAACATTTTAAGAAATTCTTGTTTTATCCTTTTGTCATATGTAACTTTACTGTTATTGTATGTGCAATGATGTGTTTCTTGATTTTACGTTGTCTTTTAAATCTGGCAGGGGGCAACAGATGAAAACTAGCCCTTGTGATTTACGCTGGCGTATTTTTTTAATACTTTTATTTTAAGTTTTTTTTTGTACAGCAGAAAAAAAACAAGCAAACAATATTGTCTCAGAATATACACACTTTCCAGGTAAATATAATATTAATTGCCATACATGTGGGTTCAGCTGTTGGAGATACAAAATGTAGTGATACACACAGTATGTAGACATCAAAAAGCCCTATAAGGTAGTGTGCCAGTCAGTTTCCGTTTTAAGTTTTAAAATGAGCACGTTTCAGATTTAAGTATCCAAGAAAGGGTTCCCAGGTAGCCAAGAATTTTTCGTTAGAGTTGGACCTGATAAATCTGAGCCTTTCCAAGTGGATAATGGAGGCTGTATCCATTAGCTACCCTGGCTTATTTACAGTTTTTTTTGTTGATTGAGCATTGTCCCTGTTAAACAAATAAATTTACAAAATAGCAACATGTCAGCAATGCGCCTTAACACACCTCCTTTCTAGACCATAACCCCCATGAGTCCACAAAGGGGCGCAAATGGACTTGCTATTTAAACATTGTGGCGCAAAGCGAGAAAATTACAGTTGCGCTGAGCTGAAAATAGCAAAACATCACTGCAAACACATTGTGCGCCTTATTGCATCGGGTGTATTGTTGGGCCAGTTATTTCACATCAAGAACAAATATAAATTGCATACTGTAGCAATGCTTTAGCAACCCATCTCACCAACTTAACTGGCAAACAGTCATAATATCATAGTAACCACATAGAAACTCCCTAGAAACCATTAGAATACCATTCAAATTGCACAAACTCCCTTGCAACATGTCCTAACACTTTAGGTTGAAGTGACGAACTACAAACTCTGGATGTTTATATCAAGTTTATATTTTCTAAATGCAAATTTTGTTACTGTTTTGTACCACACTAGCATATGGATATCTTTTAAAACTAACAATACTATTACAAAAACTATTTCAAATTCACGAGACCTTTAACTGTCCAGTAGCATTTGAAATGGATTGGTCTGGATATCAGACAACTGTGAGAAGGTCTTGTGTCGTCATTTCCAGATGAAGTGCTCAGCATGAATTGACTTCTCGGGGTTGGCAACAGCGGGACGCTCTGCCTTTATCTTGATGCAGGCTCTGATCTGTGTGTGTGTGTGTTTGTGTGTTCAGACTGTAGGCTGGCAGAGGGTGACTGTAACACTGATCTCCAGCAGAGCCCGGGGCCCAGTCGACTCATCCAGCACATCACAGACGACAACAGCCCCCTGCCCTCCCCGCGCTGCTCCAGCCAGAGCCAACGCTTCAACACCGACCCCGAATCGGCCCCATCTCCACCCTGCACCCAGCATCTTATCATGTAAGAGCACACACTCGCACACAAACATAGCAGGCTTCTGTGTATTGTGGGGACTTTCCAGTGACTTTTATTTTGAAAATAATATTTTCTGTTACCGAACCTAACCTTAAAGGGATAGCTGACCTAAAAATGAAAATTATGTCATTTACTCACTCTTCACTCATTCTAAACCTGTTAAAACACAAAAGAAAATGTTTTGAAAATTATTGGAAACCGGTAACCATTGACTTCCATAGTGTTTGTTTTTCCTGATATGGAAGTCGATGGAAGTTTTTTTTTTTTTTTTTTTTTTTTTTTTTGTGGTCCGCATTCTTCAGTATATCTTCTTTTGTTAATCAGATAATAGAGAAAAAAACAGCTCAAACTGGTTTATAACAAGATAAGGGTGAGTAAAGGATGGGAGAATTTTAATTTCTGGGTAAACTATGCCTTTAAAGTCAGATAAACATCATATAGTATATTTTTAAATTATTTCCTCTTGTGGAAAGATTCAACAAATCTTAGGATTTACTAACCTCGAAGGCTGTGATGCATAACGGTGTATATAAATAAGTACAAACACACAATACTTGCAAGACCACACTCGCACACAAACACATTATTATTGTTATTATTATTATTATTATTATTATTATTATTATTATTATTATTATCTTTATTTTACCAGGAGAGACACGTTGAGATTAAAAATCTTTTACAAGAGTGTCCTGGCCAAGATTAGGCAGTACACGTTACATGGGTCTAACAAACAACAAACAAAAAAGCAATCGACAATTAACATGAGTCACACTGAAACTATTCAAAACATCTACAAGCCTGTGTTTTAGCTTCTAAATCATTTATCCTCTTTTTAAAAGCAATCAGCGAAATCAACTGTTTAAACTGCAACTTTTTTTGTAGATTATTCCTTGCTAAAGGTGCTGCGTATTAAAAAGCCTTTTTTCTCAGTCCGCACTTTAGAAACAGACAGTAAATAAATATCCTGTGACCGAAGGCCATAGTTAAGGATGGGCTTTTTGCAAATGTAATTAGTAGGTTTCTGTGTATTGTGGGGACTTTCTGTTGACTTTTTATTCTGAAAATAACATTTTCTGTAACCAAACCTAATTTTAAAGGGATAGCTCACCCAAAAATGAAAATAATGTTATCATTTACTCCCCGTTACTCATTCTTAAACTATTTAAGCACAAAAGAAGATATTTTGCAGAATGTTGAAAACTGGTAACCATTGACTTCCATATCAGTAAACATACAATGTAAGTCAATAGTTTTTTTCAGCTTTTTTCAATATATCTTCTTTAGAAAAAATATATCTGATTTTGAACAAATCGAGAGTAAGTAAAGGATGAGAGAATTTTCCTTTCTGGGTGAATGTGTATATATATAATGTGTATATAAATAAATAATATATAATGTGTATTTAAATAAAACCTTATTTTATTTTTTGATTCCCATTCTACTGTAAGGGTGCAAATGATTTTTTCTTGACTGAAATAAAATAATTTTGTTATTTAAAAAAAAAACAATATATTTAAATAAAATATATATTTTATTGAGCAAAATTGTAGCCAGAAAAAAACATATTTAAAAAAATAAAACGCGTATAACTTTCTCTTCCGCTTGACCCGTTCAGCAAAAATACCTCATTTTTGTTTTCACGGAGAGAGAGAGACATCTCAGCATCCTCCAGCTGCAGCGAGTAACACAGTGACCCACTTTAAATCTGAATTTCATTTCTCATTATTAACACGAGTTTCCTGCTGGCTAATAATGTGCTGATGGAAACGGACATCTGTGACGGCCCGTACTCACTGTGTGGGTAATAGCCAAGGACCTTCCCAAATTATTTAACTTTTTTTTTTAGTAATAGTTGTTTATGATGTTCTCCCTCCGGCTCACTGGGTAAATAAATAGAGCAAAGCCGACCCAACAGGCCCCCGAATGCAGACACATCTCCAATGCATTGCTTGGCTGCTTAGAAAATAATTGTCATTTAGTTTTAGCGATATGTGGGTCAAAGACCAGATGCCCTATTTTTATTTTTGTTTTGGTGTCAGCATCTAATTAAATTTAAATGAAGGCCACTACTTTAATGAGCCAAATAGATTTTTTTTAAATAACATATCAAATAATCTGTGAAAGGGCTGAACGGTGGCTCAGTGGTTAGCACTGTCCCCTCACAGCAAGAATGTCGCTGGTTCGAGTTCCAGCTGGGTCAGTTGGCATTTCTGTGTGGACTTTGCATGTTCTCTCCGTGTTCGCGTGAGTTTCTTCCGGGTGCTCCGGTTTCCCCCACAGTCTAAAGACGTGCGCTATAGGTGAATTGTATGAACTAAATTGGCCATAGTGTATGAGTTTGTGTGTGTGAATGTGAGAGTGTATGAGTGTTTCTTAGTACTGTGTTGCGACTGAAAGGGCATTCACTGTGTAAAACAGGGGTGGCCAACCCTGTTCCTGGAGAGCCACCTTCCTGCAGATTTCAGTTGCAACCCATATCCAACACACCTGCCTGTAATTATCACATGGTGTTCAGGTCCTATTTAATTGGTTTAGGTGTGTTTGATATGGGTAGCAACTGAAATCTACAGGAAGGTGGCTCTCCAGGAACAGGGTTGGCCACCCCTGCCGTAAAACATATGCGGGAATAGTTGGCGGTTCATTCCGCTGTGGTGACCCCTGATAAATAAGGGACTAAGCCGAAGGTGAATGAATGAATAATGTGTGAAATAATATTCCATCGTCATTAAGTGTAGCAGATGTGCTGTATATGTGTGATAATTTAATATTTATTCTGACATGATGCACATATTAATTCTTACATGACAAAGAAGCAGTAATAAATATTATTATATTTTAATTTAAGACTATAAAAAGCTGAGAAATGGGCAAAACCTAGTGATTTGAAAAGGAATGTGGTGGATTATAAAGATGACAATTTAAAAATGAAATAGTATTTTTAATCTGCACTTTCACCTTTAATAGAGTTTTTTAAATTGGGCTGTCACTAACGATTATTCTAATAATCAATTAGTCGGGCATTTCAAACCAAAAAATATTTATTTATTCATTCTTTTTGATTAATCGAATTGAGCATAGGTCTCAAACTCAATTCCTGGCGGGCCACAGCTCTGCGCGGCTTCTTTCAACTCTATTCAAACACAGTAGAGTAGTCTTGAACACCTTGATTAGTTGGTTCAGGTGGGTTTGATTAGGGTTGGAACAAAACTGTGTAGACCTGCGGCCCTACAGGAAATGAGTTTGAGACCTTTGGAATAAAGAAATAAGTTGATGTTCTGCTTATTCTAACTATATAAAACCATAAATCAGGGGATTATTTATGTATAAGTAATCACACATTAAGTTTAATGATGTTTATTTTGACATTTTAAACCTTTGATAAATTCAAAGTTTGTTTTTAAATGTATATATGTTACATAAAACAACAAGAAGGTTGCTGGGTCAGTCGGCGTTTCTATGTGGAGTTTGCATGTTCTCCCCGTGTTGGTGTGGGTTTCCTTCGGGTGCTCCGGTTTCCCCCACAGTCCAAAGACGTGCTATAGGTGAATTGAATAAGCTAAGTTGGCCATAGCGTGTGTGTGAGAATGAGTGTGTGGGTGTTTCCCAGTACTGGGTTGCAGCTGGAAGAGCATCCGCTGTGTAAAACGTGCTGGATAAGTTGGCGGTTCATTCCGCTGTGGTGACCCCTGATTATTAAAGGGACCAAGCTAAAGGAAAATGAATGAATCAATAATATAAATATTTCAATAAATGCTGTTCATTTTAGCTCTTAAGCAAATATTAATACAATAACGTATCATGGTTTGCTCAAACATTAGGCAGCACAAATTCAGCTTTGCAAACACACGAATAAATTTAAACATTTAAAAAACACTTAATGTAGTTTATTTTATTGTAAATTGTAAAAATGTCATTTAAATTAAAAAAATTTACATTTAAATGTCATATTTTCTCTGTAAATTTTAATAATGTGCTTTAAAAGACACTGAAACGACTGGTCACACTTTATTTTGATAGTCCGATTGTTGAATTTAAGTTACATTGCAGCTAATTTTCATTAGATTATAAGTAGACTGTTAGGTTGGGGTTAGGGTTTGAGTTACTGTAAGTTGACATGTACATGCAAAGTTTCTTATAATCAGTTAAGTGTCTGTTGAAGGAGCAGTATTAAGCGGACAGTCTACTAATACTGAAATGGACCATCAAAATAAAGTGTTACCAAAAGACTTAACAGAGTACAAAAACACTTAACAGACTTAACTTAAAAAGACTTATCTTCAGTGTACACATTGAGTTCCATATTCAGTTTGTATTTAATGCATTTCATGTTAATTTCATAATTCACAGCTATAGAAACTGATAAATTTTAGTTGCCCATAAGTAATTGTGTAGTTGTGTGTGAGTGTTTATGTGTGTTTTCTTCTTTTTAGGGCTCGTGGTCTTCTAAGAGCAGAGGTTTCTGGAGATGCTAAAGACGCTGCTTCCATCACACTCCTCACCAAACACATCCAAACCCTCAAGAGGAAAATACGCAAGTTTGAGGAACACTTTGAGCAAGAGATGCACTATAAGGTTATAATTATTTAAAAATTTTCATGTAGTTAATATTGCAATTACCCAATTACCCAAAATAGAGTAATATGGGCAACATTCAGTTTAATGTCATCTGTCGCCCTCCTCTGGAAAAGAATAGTAGTGCACTTCATTGCTGTTTCATTTACCGTTTCAGATGATAGTCGTTTCATTTTAAAATATAAAGAATCAGGATGCTGGTTTTATATCATAATTCATAGCTTTGGATTGTGTTTGTTTTCACTCACAGCCTTCACATAATGATAAATCAGCCAATCCAGAGATGTTGAAGCTCATGAGTGAACTAGCCAGATCTCGCAAGCAGCTCAAAGGTAAGATTGAGCATCCATCCATACAATAAAACACATGTATTATGATTTATGGCCTTTTGTTATCAATTAATGCAATCATTTTTTTCATGGCTGCTTGGACAATTTATTTATTTATTTCATAATTATATGAACTCCCAATTTGTAAAACTATATTCTGAGTTACAGCTAACTCTTTTTAAATAATAAAATAGACAATAAAAATTGTAAAATAAATTAAAATAAGTTTCAAGAATGGTTGTCTGTACTCTTATTGTTTTTAACATTTTTTATTTTAATGTAATAATCACAATGAATTTAGATGGTTTTGGAGTTAGTTTGCAAGCACTTAATGTATACATGTAAAAAGTTGATTATATTATTTTTTTGTATTATTTAATATTTAAAATAGAAAAAAAACGTTTTGGCAGGACATTAAAGATATTTTAGTCTGCAAAATAATAATAATAATAATAATAAAATTATATAAATATATATAGTGTGCGAATGAGTGTGTGGGCGGTTCATTCCACTGTGGTCTGTGGTGGCCTCTGAAATTGAGACTAATATAAATGAATGATTGGAATATGAGGGATATACAGTGTGTCACTTTCATTTTTATTTCATTCATCAAAACGTAATTTTTTTATGACATATTTTATTTATTACATTGCTTTACATCTATTGTATTGCTTTCATGGCCATCAACTGGCAGTCACTTCAGTCAAATGTTATCACCGGACTGTAAAACATTCATTTTTAGAGCTTTGGCTTCCAAGATCTACTTTAAATACTGGATTGTAAAAAGTACTGTAGATGACTGGAAAGTTAAATGCTAATTAAAAGGAACGGCCAGACCAGTCCCCAGAAATGAACATTATTGAGCATGTCTCGGGTAAGATGGAGTAGGCATTGAAGTTGAATCCAAAGAATCTTGATGAACTCTGGGAGTCCTGCGAGAACGTTTGCTTTGTCATTCCAGATGACTTTATTAAGAAGTTATTTGAGTCATTGCAGAGATGTATAGATGCAGTCCTCCAAGCTCATGGGAGTCAAACACAATATTCATTCTTTTTCCACTGCACCATGACTTTATATTCTATACTGTACATTATTTTCTAGGAAGTAGGAAGTAACTTCTGTGACTGATCGATAGCAATGACTGAGAGACATGCAGACGGCCAAAACACTCGGCTTTGTTTAGATTTTAGTAACTATAGCTATGACTATTCAGTTTGTGGTCTTATTTTATCTGTAACACTGTAAGCTATGACATAGACCTGCCTTTTACTACAAAGACGCTGTTTTCGCATGTAAGTACCATGGTAAAGTGATGTAAACATTGATGTGGAAAAACAGCACCTCAGTGCGTCCTCGTCTGGGCGCTGACTATGAGGTTTTTAGGTGACATGACTTTTGTCTTAGCAAAGTCAGACCTTACTGTCATCATTAAATAATTAAACATCAAGGCATGATCATTTTTTATTTTGGTAAAGTGTAATCTAGAGGTCTTAAACTTTCAAAAAAGCCACTTCTGATATCAAATGATCAACTAGAAGTCAAGTTATTTGCCGTTTCTAAAACTTGGATAGGCGACAAGACTTTCGGTTTTAATATCATGCAAAGCACACCAGCTGCCTTTTTTTACATTCATTACAGGTCATAGGAATTCAGCCTTTTAGTCAGTAAAAGTATCAAAGGATGTTGATATTTGTCTCAGAGTGGGAATTCAGTTTGTAAAAACTGTAGTTCAGCAGTACTCTAAGGGATAGTTCACCCAAAAAAATTACTCTTCAGTTGTCATGAAAATGTTTGAGTTTAAAGAACGTGTTGTTTGAAAAACATTTGAAAACTGTAACCATTGGCGAAGTAGTGGCGCAGTAGGTAGTGCTGTCGCCTCACAGCAAGAAGGTCGCTGGTTCGAATCTGAGGTCAGTTGGTGTTTCTGTGGGGAGTTTGCATGTTCTCCCTGCATTCCCGTGGGTTTCCTCCGGGTGCTCCAGTTTCCCCCACAGTCCAAAGACATGTGGTACAGGTAAACTGGGTAGGCTAAATTGTCCGTAGTGTATGAGTGTGTGTGTGATTGCGTGTGAGGATGTTTTTCCAGGGATGTGTTGCGGCTGGAAGGGTATCAGCTGCGTAAAAACTTGCTGGATGGGTTGGCAGTTCATTACGCTGTGGCGACCTCGGATTGATGAAGGGGCTAAGCCGATAAGAATGAATGAACTGTAACCATTGACTTTTATAGTATTTGTTTTTCCTACTATAAAAGTCAATGGTTAGAGGTGTGTAACATTTTTTAAAATACCCTTTTTGTGTGTGTTCAACAGCAAAAAAAAAGAAAATTTATAAAGGTTTAGAAACACTTAAGGTTGAAATGAATAATTGATGAGAAAATGTTTGGGTGAACTATAATGTGGGGAAGCTTCCTCTATCCTCACTGTTAAATTCCTCTTTTCACTATACTGTTTCCATTGTTTTAGATGTAAATTAAGGAATTTCTTCTCTTGGTTTCCCCCAGATCTGAAGCTGAGGCAGTCAGTGGAGGATTCGCGGCGTCCTGAAAACATCCCATCCACAGACATCTGCAGGTACACCAGCATCCAGCAGGAGGCGCCAGAACACCACCAGCAGCAGCAGCAGCAGCACAAACCCTGTCTGGAGGAGACTGTGGATGCTTTGCTCAAACGACTGCGGGATAAACGCCAGGCGCTCGGCCTCCCAGACAACATGAAGGTGAGTCCATCTGTGCCCACATTCTGTCCTGGATGCAACCGTGTGCTGATCAACTCGTCTGTACACAGGAGATGACCCAAAGACAGATGGCCCTGGAGAAGATCACGCTGCAGAAATGCCTGCTGTATTTTGAAAGCTTGCACGGCAGACCGGTGAGAAGGTTTTC